TTCCAGGCCCCGAGATTCAGAGCTTTGGGAGGTTGGAGAGAGAGAGAGAGGGGAATTACTTACTCTACATGAATTGAATCAGTGAACAAGCTAAGTAGTGAAGTGAGTACTCCTCGGTTATTTAGTTTAATGTATGTGGGTGCCCAATTCAGGGACTCTTAATAAGCTTTGGCCATGAAGTCTTTTTTCAGTCGGCACCAGCTTCGCCGTCTTACGGTCCTTACGGATGGAAACATTTACCGGTGAGACCCAGCCCGTGACGGGTCTCAACCGAGTGATACCGAGTGCTCAGGTCGTTCGGCCGAGTGCTGTGCAATGAGCCGGTTGGCGACGTCGTGGAAGCTTGGTCGGAAGCCCCAGATCTGCGGTCGGAGGATTCGACTGGTTGGAGTCCACCGACCGGTTGCAGAGGAGAGGAAGCGCAGGAAGGAACCGACCGTTTGGTAGCCCGACTTGGGTTTGGAACACGCCCCTCCCGCTTCGTAGGGGGTTGCAGATGGAACTTTAGTCCTCGAGTCAGCAAGCATTCTCCTTCGCGAGGGCTCACTCAAAGAGATGTTGAGATGCTGTTACCATCTGTTACCTGTTTAACTTCAACGAGAAAGACCATGAATGTGAGATGGGTCTTTGCAGAGGCGAGCGTTGTCTTCCGAAGACAAGATTGTCAACGATGCTGAGTACTTCACTGATCAATTCTTGTCTTTGAGTTTTTATGGCCTGAATCTTAGTCTGTTTTGGAACATGTCGTCTCAGAATTTCTTTGTTCATTCGAATCGGAGTGGACATTTCATGATTTGTCAGATTCGCATGATTCCTGTTGAGGACACGAAGGTCAAGCCTGTCAAACTGACATGCCACACTGCTGTGCCACTCTAGGGCAAGAGTCTGGTTCCAGATAGGTTCAGTATAATTCTAGGGGCCCTTTTGCGGGATCAGACTGGGAAGATGTAGAAAGTGTGTGTGCCTGTGCCAGGTAGTCGGAGTGCACTCCCCTTTTTGATCTTCTTGACACCAAAAGAAACTGAGGTAGAGTCATTGCATCTGCAGAAGCAACGTCTTTGAGCATCGAAGGTCCATTGTTGGCCCGGCACGTCTCTTGGCAGCGTTCGCTTTCCCACCCGCTTCCCAAAATGCCAACACCCGCAACTAGTAGCTAGAAGCTACTAGGTTGGAGGCCATCGCGATTAGGTTGAAGGCCATTGATACTAGGTTGGAGGCCATCGCTCCATCGCTACGAGGTTGGAGGCCATCGCTCCTGGGTTGGAGGCCATCGCTAGTAGGTTGGAGGCCATTACAACTATAGCTATAACATGCCGGAACCGATCTGATCGGTGGAGGCCATCCGATCTTTGCGTCGCTCGATCTTCCGCGAGACTCGTTTGACTGATGCGACCACTGAGGTGCTGGTGAATTTCAGCTCCAGCGAGCCATCTGTGCGCCTTTGGGAAGCCTTTCCGGCTCTTCGACTCAATGACACAATAGAGAGAAGGAACGTGCAGCGCAGCACCTAAACAATCGACAATGTGAGCTTCAAGTAGTGGAACAGATTGAATTTGCATGATTTTGGTGCCTAAGCTTGTTTTGATCCTTTGTCACTAGTGGGCTTTCAGGTGCTCTCCAAGCCTGGCCGCTTTGCTGTCGCTTGGGCGAAATGTTCTTCATTTTTCAGCCCCTGATCCATGGGCCATGGGCATAGAACGCACCTATCCTGAAAAGTGTTTTCAGGCTACAAGACTTGACCTGGAAGAGTCTTGTGATGTTTTGCGGGGTGTGCGTTGGTGTAGTGCCAAGTCCTCAACTCCGGGTTTGCAGCGTCAAGCAGAGTCGCTGGCGGCTTGCTTCGGAACCAAGGCCCAACTCTGGGGAATGTTGCGCTTCGATGACAGCCTGAAGTCCTTTGGAGAGGTCGGAAGGGACTGAAGGAATTCGATCTCAGTCTTCAATTAATCCCAGAATTGGACCCCTAGATTAGATGTTGATCCACATCATCCAGCACCACACATGTTTCCCTAAGTCTAAGTGGTGTTTGGTGCTGGAGAAGATGGATCGTGGCACCACGCTGTTCGGAGGCCCGAGATGCGATGGCCCATGGCTTCTTTCGATGCTATTGCCAGGACGCGATTTCGAGTTTGACAGATGGAAGTTTCAGCCAGAATTTTGAAGGTCCCTATTTTGGTTCAGCCAGAATCCCGATTTGGTGGAGTGAACACCCGGAGCTGCTTGGTGTTGTTATATATACTGTATAATATGTTACTATAGTTATATCAGAGGCAAACGGAAGGGTAGTGCACAGAAAGGGTTTTGCAAAAACCTATTCTACTAACATCGTGGAAGGCGTGGGACATTCGTAGAACCCGAGGCTATTCGTGGACAGTTCGTGGAATGGTGGGCCAGTAGGAGAACTGACTGCAACGAAATTCCAGAAACCTTCGCAGAACTTCGTGGAAGGTATTTTTGATGCACTAACTTCGTATATGCGATTTTTGCTGACCTCCTTTCGACACACCCTCCATTTAGCCTTCATTATATATTTATATATATATATATATCATATTTACTGTGAAAAATGGCTGATCATCGCAACCTATCCACAAGGAGCTTGTACCTCAGCACTTGATGAAATCATTGTCTCAAGTCTTAATCACTCAGGGTGTCCAAGTGTCCAAGATAAGTGGTTTCAATGCTGTCAAACAGGAAGTGGAGCTGGTGACCTGGCTCCAAAAAAACTTGAACGAGCAGAAGCTGAATGCTAAATACATCAAAGTCCATACGAGAGAGTCAAACACAGCGAATACAGCACTTGTCCGGTTGCACTCGCCCGACAGAAACATTCAAGTCGAATGGACATGAGTCGACATGGAACGCGTCCTTTTCGCATCGGTCCGTCGAGCCAGGAAGCCAGTGGAACCAATCATGAAGCGGATTCATGCTTGCAATTAGAAAATATCGTCAAATCATGGCGGAATGCCGGTGAATTTTGATGTGGACCGTGATTCAAAGGACCTTCAGGATGGTTTTGTGGGAAGCTGGAGATTCCTTGTCCTAGCATGTGCTAGCTATGTATAGTTCAACCATTGGTGAAATGATTTGATGATGTCAGGGAGCGCGATACTGTCGAAGGAGGAGGTAAACCAACCAAGAGAGCTTGTCGCAGCAGATATGTCAGACAGTTTGTTTTGTTCCAAAAAGCATGTGAGCTAGGCTCAAAATTAGTGACAATGACGAATAGTCAGTGAGTGGTCATGGGAGCGCAAAATTAATGTTATGCTTAAAAACGACAACGCACTCACCAAAAACGATAACCTGACGGATGTTTAAAACGATAATACACTCACCAAACCCTGATGACCTGCAACTCCACAACAAGTTTTGAAAATCGCGCAATAGGCTGTACACGCTCAGGAACTCCGCTTGCGGCTTCACCTTGTGCCCAGCACCAAGATGGCTTTGGGCCTTTTTCAAGATACATGTGTTCAAGCACGGTTTTGCTGAGCCTATGGCACAGCACCATATGATGAAAGGACAAATTCTTTGGCTGCCGATCAAACATTTGAATGGGAGCCACACTGGAGCTGTTTTTGCAACTCAGTCTGTTTCGACTTTACTGTAACCCCTTCATGGCGACATTGGACTGAATTGGCGAGGCTAACTCTTCTGGAGTTGATTTGGTTCAGAAGGCAGTGTGCAAGGAACAAAGCGGCACCCTCGGGTGGTACACGTGTTGCGGTACCTGGCTTGAAAACAGTGCAGATCATCCTGCTTTAGCCCAGAAGAATCCGCAAGCCCCGTAGAACCCTGGTATGGCCTCTTGGATGTTTGAATCTGAGGTGGTGGATATGTGCCCAGAGCTTCCTGCGGAGGTGCTTCACCTTTTCAGAACAAGCTTGTTCGCAGAACATGGCAGGAATCTTGCAATGGAGCTGTGTTCTGTAATTAATGCGATTTTCAGTTTGTCCGATCCGCACACTGAACCTGACTTTGTGCTCTGTGTGTGTTCAAGCGCTGTTGCTTAAAGGATTTTGGAGACAGTAAAGCGAGGTCGGCCTACGTGAAGCTCTACGCCAGGCCTTGAGAACGAATTAGAACAGCTGAAGAGCTCCCAGAAAAGATCAGTGAATTCTGCCAACTCTTCAGTCTTCCAGTCACCAAACTAGAAAATTTCGACACTCCACAACTCCACAACCGACTCTTCTGTTTGAAGCGATGGGCAGGAGGTGCTGGAGACGGCGTCAGCCTGGAAGCGCTACTTGGCCGGCTCAAAAAGTCGCTGAAAAATGCATCGACGAGCATGGCAATCCAACATCACGAGGTCTCAAGGCCTTCAAAAGATCCAGAGGGATGCAGCTGAAGAGGCTTGTACATAGGGGTACCAGTCGCGTGCATGTTGAAGGAGCTCGCTCTCTACAGGGTGTGCTTCGAAGCCAGCAGACGAATGAGAAGAGCCGTGAAGAGCCTAAGATGGTTTGTCATTTGTAGCTGTTCAACACTCTGGAGTGGCTAAGCGAAAGAACATTCTGTGTGAGCTCTCCTTTGCAAAGCGCCGCTCGTGCCAGTCTGGTCGACTTGATTGCTGTTTTGGGAACCCACAGGCTGAGCATTTTGTGTGTGTGGATGTGGGGTTGGCTGCAACGAATCAGCCTTATTGGACGACACACTTCACCAAATGAGAATGATGAGACTGAGCCTCTGATGACCATGGCATCTCCTGAGTCTAAAGCCAATGCGATTGAAAAGATTGCTTTGCACTTTGTATATACTGATGTTTTTGTGCAGGGCATCCACGTTTTGAGACACTTGATCAGACTGAAAGAAAAGGCATTCGGGTGGTGGAAACACCATTATGAGAGATTGACACTTTAAGAACACCCCCTTAAAGGGAGCCCTATTAAGAGGGCCGGCTCTTTTTACCTTCTTTGTTCCTCTCTTATTTTCACATAGGAAAACCAAGCAATTTCTGTGTCCTGCAACTTACAAAGCCTTGCAGCCACTGGTCTTTTGAGATGAATCCGAGGGCAGGAATGAATGCCCCATCCGCACCCTACAGCGCCATGTACTTTGCGCCGTTCGGCGCAGGGCCGGTCACCCGTCTGGCAGATAGACCGGCTGCTGGAACACAGATCATCACTCAAGCTGCCCAGAGCTGTGGTCCAACTATGGCTGTTGCCAGGGGCATGCCTGTGATCGCAGCCCCACAAGCTGCCCCAGCTGCCTATGTGCGAGCACCTGTGACGACGACAGTGACATCCCCACAAGCTGCCTTTGCTGCACCAGTTCTTTGGATTGGATTGCACATTTGATGGCCAGTGTGCAAGGCAGATAGATTTATTTAGATTGATTGATGGTTGCACTTCTTTTAAAGAACGAAACAACCATGAACAACCTTGCAATGTTTTGAAGTTGTTGCTGCTTCCAAGCTTTTGAGCAAAGTGTCATCAACTAGATCAAATGAACCCTTTGAGGCAAGTTTTCGAGGGTCAAGGGTATCTTCAAGCCATGAAATGACTTCCTCAGGTCAAAACCATCTCAGCAGCCGCTGAATCTGCAGAAGCAGTACATACCTCAATTCTTCACCCGGAAAATCACTGTACTTCGATGGAAGACAAGTAGGTCTGCGTCCAAGTTACACGTTCCCATGGCACCAACAGGAGAATCATGTGGACCAAAACATATCAAGCCACTAGGAGAAACTTGTCGACTGAGGCAGCAAGGATCAACCCTGTCATGGGTGATTATGCTTTTGTCACCTCAAAGCTGCAGGAAAGAGAGGCTTTGCCAGTCTTTATTGGCGAAGGGGTGATTTCTCGATGGTTGTTTGATTGGACATTGAGGCAGGTGTTCACGCAAGGGAAGAGCTGTCAGGTACAACACACAGTTTTCATTGACCCTTGCACACATTATATAGTGAAGTCAAACCATATTACTAAGACGCTCACTGCAAGGATTTAAGTGCTCCAGTACAAAGCCAATTGTCATCAACTCAGAGTTTTAAGAATTGTAATAGTAGGTGTGATGTTCAAATGACCTTGAAGCCTAATGGATTTGTTGATTCGTTTGGATCACAACAGAAGGAGGGTCTCCAAGGCCTGTTCTGCATTTTTGTGAGCACGTACCCCTATGAAGTTTTGACATGTTTTGACGAGGGGCCCATCACCAAGGATGTAATTATCCTCTTCAGCAAGACATATTGCCCATTTGTGCAGAAGGCAGGATGCCGCAGACAGCGTGTGCTAGCTCGACAAATAGACAAATCAAGAAAAAGACCACTGGCACTTGGGAGCATCGTCAATAAACATCGAGTCCCCGTTAAGCTCACCATCTGGCGCTGAGAAATCCTATACGTGAGGCCACCAGCTTTCGGGCGATATGTTTTCGGGAAGTACACCTTTTGACTTCCAGTCAACACCAGCTCTGCCAAACGGTATGGTCAGATTTGCAGCTTGTGTATGTCATCTTGATTTCCGAGGCCAAGGAGGTTCTTGCTTCATTGCGGCCAAAGCCTGTGATGACAGTGATCGAACTGGTGCCATGCTTGGGAGTGAGACAGACCTACAAGAAGCACAGCTGGTCCTTGAATCCCTCGAGAGAACATTTGGCAGACTCATTGCTGAACTGTTTAATAGTTCTGCGACTGCTGACCCGAACGCCACACAACCACGCAACAGACATGTGGTGTGTATAGAATCATTTTCTAATCCAATTCGCCCACTTTTGGAACTTGGACTCTCCTTCGCGGCCTCAGGACTTGATGGGAGAGCCAAGACATGGGCCCATTCAACAAGAACTTTGGCCAGATCAGCCAAACTCCCTCTTAGGTGTTGTCAGATTAGGGGCATCTACTAAGCGGCGAGCATATCAAAGAACAAATTTTGCTGACCCATTCTTTTTGATTAGTCACATAAACCATACTTGCATAATGAACTCCTGTGAACTGTGCCAGAATTCAGGTCTTGCGGAAACACACTGGCTCTTCAACCGTGCCACAGGTGAAGCGCTCCAGTTCCATGCCACATAGAAATGATTTGGTTCCACTGTTTGTGGATGTCATCCAATGCCGCACCTCGTAATTCTTGTTCAAGGCCTTTGTGAACGGGACTTACATTGGAGGCTGCCAAGAGATGAGCAATCTCCACACACGAGGATGGGTTGGAAATAACAACGATTTCATTGTTTAACATAACATGTTGATTCATCCTTAGTCCGTTTGTATGCAACAAAATTTCCAGGAGAATTATTGCCAATGCTTCAAAGACTGGGATGCAAATTTGAAACTTAGAACAAAAATAAATAATCAATAATTGATTTGTTATATTGTTACATAAAACGGTAACCCTTCGGCCCATTGCGCACGTCCTTTCGGAAACCCGATATTACAAACGTAAATGAGAACTGACCTAAGATGACGAGGCCGAAAATCCAATTTTTTATTCTGAACATTTTCGATCAATTTTTTAAATTTCCGGAATATTTAGAGATTTGGATTCTTACAAACGATAGAAACATATTAATTAAAATTTGGAGATGTTTATTTTGCGTTATAACTTTTATTTATGATTGTATTGTATCGATAATTATGGATTTTTGATTTTAAATAAGAATGAGTTGGTTGTGCGTGTTTTCGAGATAGGTTGGTGGTGGGTGTCGGTCTGGGATGCGCGCGTTTGTCGTTGTAAAGTCTCGCGATTAAATATGTGGTCGTACGTATATTGGGGATTGATTATTATTGTCGTAACGATATGATGTATTTAAAATGAAAATCGAATGGGTGTTTTAAAAAAATATATATAAAAGAATTAACAAAAAAAATATTTTCTTTTAAAATTATATTATGGGGCAAATCGAATATATAAAATATTTTAGTTTAACGATTATATATTTTTGAGATTTAAAAATAATGCTAAATTACAATTAATTAATTCGAGGATATAAATTTATTAAAAATTGTTAAATTTAAATAAATTTTCGTATTTATGTTTAAAAAAAAATATATATATATTGTATATATATTGAATATTTGAAATCTTTTTTAATTAAATTATCGGTTTAGGGAGTTATCGTAATTATAATCGTCGTCGATAATGGAATAATAGGTAGTAATAATTAGAGCAAATTTAAATAAATATAAAGAAAAGGTTAGGAATATAGGATTAAATTAATAGGGGAGAATAATATAAAATATTAATGGGGAATCGATATATTTATGAATTTATTAAATGATTATTTTAAATATATTTTAATGAGGCAATTTATATGCTCTAAGCCCTGGATATTTTTAAGGATTTTATTAAATAGGTGACGGTGGTGGTAATAGTAATAGTACGTAATAATAATAATATTAAAAAAAATTAGATTTCTTCGATAAATTGAAAAAGAATTAAATAGTATGGGGAAATGAATAACGTGAGAAGAAAATTACTAAATTAATTATATGAATTAAGAATCTATGAATTGATTAATAAATCTTCTTTAATTAATAGATTAATTAAGAAAATAAATATTTGTTTTAATGGATTTTATGAATGATTATTTTATACCTTCTTGATTTTGTTGATTTATTATATGGGGGGGAATTAATCTATTAATTAGAGGTTTATATTAATTAGAAAAATCTATATAGGAATGAATAATCTTCCGAATAGAATAGGAAAGATATGCATTTGAATTTATTGTGATCCGTATCTTATGGAATTAGCGGTTCTTTATTTCGATGAAGGTTTTTGGTTATACGAATCTTTTAGGATAGAAACATTATTAAGATTATTATCGTTATGATTTTTTATAATTAATTTATTTTTGGCAAATTGTCGAAAATTGATTGATTTTCGATATAAATGGAATCGATGTTGATGCTAAAGGTTTATATTTTTATGCTATATATTCGATACAATTGAATAATTATTTCTGTGAATTGCAAAATATTTATTGGTTGATTCATTAAATTTTATATTTTATTGTAGCATTTGGATTTCATAAATTCGTAATATGGATTTGGAATTTAATATGTCTCGACGTTCGTTCGTTAATCATATAATTACGTAAGATTAAAAAATATATATTCGTAATTCGATGTTTTAGATGCTATTCTAAATAATATAGTCTCGGTTTTATATAAGGATTGGATTTATTGATTGCATGATTCTAATTTGATTTATCACGAAAGCTAGCGAAGCTAGCTGGAGTTACTCTTGCGATAGCA